GAGGACCTCAGTTTAGCTTGTTTGTCGCACTAGCGCCGAGCTAATACATATAAGGAAGTATAGCGTCGGCACTAGCGCAAAGGCTAAAAGGCTAAGCTTTCTGCATTTAAAAGAGTCGATCATCAGATATTGTCCAAGATTAACCTTCAGGGTGGATATAGCTCGCTAGCAGCCTCGCACCGAGGACCTATCCACGTCATCATTTACCCAGAATGCTTTGTGTGCAAATAAAATGGCTCTGTCCGTGTTAAAATATGTTTTTAAGATTTTACTAAACTAAACAGCCTACAGTATTTTTACAGTCTTTATTTTACAGTTAAAATAAATGTTCATCAAATAAAGTCTAATGTTACAACTAAACAAGGATCCCTTTAATGCTGCTTTGCTAAGGAAGGTCTGACAGCTCCTCACACATCCATGCCACTCACTCATCAGCTGGTGAATAAATGTTAATACGTTGCATTAAAAATTAGCTTTTTGTTGCGTATATAATTAAAAATCAAGTGCAGAAAAAAAACGATCTTCCCTGTTAAAAAGATAAAACGACTAATAAAGCCCTGCAGAGCTGCAAACAGCCATGAAATTAAGCTCACAGAGCTTCAGTCAGACATTAGAGCACATTATTACAGTGGTCATAAAAGCTTTTATGGCTTTTTTAAAGGGAAAGAACATGGTCTCTGTTAGCTTCTTCTTATTTCTCTGCAACACAAACAGTGTTTTAAAAGTTACATTATACATTTCTGAGTGCACAATAACATTACATTATTTTTATGTGTTTGAAACAATTACATGTCATGTCATTGTGTAAAGAGAAAAGCTTGATTAATAAAACTAAAGAGTTTATCTGGAAGGTCAGGGTGTTCTGTATGATTGGGTTATTGATCCTGTTCAGTCCAACTTTATTTATAAAGCACTTTAAACAACCAAAGTGCTGAATACAGCAGGAAATAAAACATGGCTCACATAAGACACAAAATACAGCTTGAAGAAATTAAAAATGAAATTAAATGTAAAAAAAAACAAACACTAAGATCAGAGAAAATCAAAGCGTTTAAAACAAAAGAAAAAAGTGGCTTTTAGAGGGGGCGGTATTATGCAAAATGGACTTTTATCTTTATATCATGTTATAAAGTCATTCATCAAAAACACAGTGTTGCTTCGACTCATTCATGCATGTTGGAGAAATCCTGGAATCTCTGCTTCTGTGCTTTCTGGTACAAAGCCCCTCCCACAGAGCACCACTACCCCAAAGCATTGTTTGAAAACATGCTGAAGTGGGAGCGTCAGAAACGGGAGGAAGTTCTTAAAGAAACAATTTCAAGGTGTTTAGACAGACTATGATGCAAAGTCAAATTAGCTTAGATATATTCAGCATTTTGTAACTGAACACAGTTGATTTCAAAATGTCTTCTTGGAAGGATGAGTTTTACTTTTCTCAGCTTAATAAATGATAAAAACTTTTTTTAATTACTGTCCTGATCTGACAGTCTAATTTAAGCTCAGGATCCATTTTAGAATATATTTTATTCAGTTCCAGTAGAGTATTTTTAGCTCAGAATGAAGTGTTTTTATTTGTGGATTTTATTGTGAAGGAGCTATATCCATGGTCACTGCATTTTCTCCTATTTTGATTGCGGGATATTTTAGATGTATTTTTAAAATAACAAATCGAACAACAACAAACACATGTTCGTCTGTAATGGCTACTGTCTACCGGTGTTCTGAAAAAGTTTGTATCCCTGTAAAAAGTTTCCCCACCAGAGGGGGCGCTCGTGAGTAGGAAGTAATCTGCTTTTCCCCCACAAGATGGCCCAAATCTCATGTGAAGTCTCTGACTTTGTGTTGGCGCCTCCTGGTGGACTATGTGTAAAATGCCAGAATTCATATGGTGCTGCTACAG